CCTCTAGGCCCCAACACGCACTTGGGATGAGTCAGCAGCGGGCTGGGGGCATTGCCTGGCACTCACCCCCCAGAGAAAGGCACACCCGCACTTCCTGGGAAAGGAAGAGGGGACACGGTCAGGGCAGAATGGGGAAGGGACAAGTTTCACTTCCAAACTGCTCTCACATTTGGGCTGGGCTTCCCAAACAGGTCCATCCTCATGTAATCTCGCAAGGCTGAAGGCTGTGGCCTGCGTTAGAGGGTGAAGGGTGACAAGTGAGGGACACCTATCTGGGGCTCCCAAGATACACACACACGGAGCAGCAGGCCAGACTGGAGGCCCAAGCTGCCCCCTGGCCCCACTAGGCTGGCCTTGGAGCTCCCAGCTACTAACATGGACAACATGCCAACACTTCCTATGCCTCAGCTCCCCATCCCCATGGACACCAGTAAGGTGGCTCCCTACTTCACCAGTGGGTGACCTTGGGAAAGTCACTTTAGGTCCCAAGGCCTCTGGTTTCCTCTTCTGTAAAATGGTTCATGAGTTGTAGTGAGGACTGAATGATGTGGTCCATTGAAAGCTTTTGGCCCAGTGCCCGCCACATATTAAGACTGCAATGTTAACTGCTGTCACTGTTATGGTAGGTTTCATCAGTCCCTTTATGGGAGAGAGCTTAAGTGACCTGCCTACAGCCACAGAATGTGGAGATGGAGGGCAGATCATCACAAGGCTGATTTTCCATTGTGCCAATCTGCCTCACAGGCAAGCAGGTCTCCTGAGCCTACCTGAGCACCCAGAACCCTGGAAATGCTTCCTAGGACAAGACCAACCCCCTTCTCCTGAGGGGCACATGGAGTCAAGGCCTCCCTGGGGAACCGTAACAGAACATACTCAGATGCCTCTGGTATCCTGGGCATAGCTTTAAGGAAACTCAAGAAGGGAGCCCCCCTCTGTCGGGTCACAGCCCAGAAGCCAGGTGCCATATGTAGGCCTACGGGGACAGTGGGGCCTTGACCTGTCGGGAGCACTGGCACTGCCTGTCTGGACAGATTACAGGATGGGGGCAGGAGCAGCCACAGGAGGTCGTAGAACATCTGCTGAGACCCCTGGTGGACCGGGGCCGAGGCCAAGGTGAGCTGCCTGAGGCCTGGCTCTGGGGCTGGAGGGGGGCTGCCTCCAGAGATCTAGATGCAGGCTGCCAGGTAAGAGGCCAGATCCCTGTGTGCCCAGCCCCCAGTCAGCACAGCTGTCAACACCCGACTCTGTCAGAGGGCACGGGGCTGGCAGTGGCACCTCCGAGGGCATCCAGGTGGCATGTGAGAGCCGTGGAATTTTACAGCTACTTTTACTCCAGGGGAACATCACTTTGGGCAAAGGCTATCCTACAGCAGTCCATTTAATTTTGAGGTTTTAGGCTCTCGAGAGATGGTTAAACATAAAACTTGTTACGAGATGCAGGAGCAACGCAATGGGAAAGATAGCAAGGAAGTTTGTGGCTGGGAGTAAAACCTATTCTAGAAACCTCAGTCCCACACATCCTTGGGGGGGTGGTGCTAATCCCACCCCTACCCCACCACACATCACTAGGACCCCTGGTCCTGAGGGGAGCTGGACCCTGCCTCTACACCAAGGACATCAGAGGGACTCCCTGGCTAGACGTGGGGAGCGGGGCTGCGAGCGTCGCTCTGTTCAGTGTCTCCTGGCACGGTCTGCAGACCACCAGCCCCATGACAGCCTGAGAGCATCCTCAAAATCCTGTCCCCTGGCTCTATCCCCAGCTGGGACTCAGCAGGTATGTGGTGGTGGGTTCTGGGGAACAGCGCCATGAGCCAGCCCCTGGGCAGCTCTGAAATACCTCTGAAACTGAGAACCCAGAGAAAAAGATAAACGGAAGATGGGGTAGCCAAACACATTCCGGTTTAAGGCCTGGCTTCACCACCTGAGGCAAAAGCCCTCGTCCCTCCGAGCCTTGGCCTTGAGCCTGTAAAACGGTGGAACCACCTCACAGAGGAGAGCTGCCATTGTGTACATGGTGACCCGGCACACCATCCGGTGCTCGGACTGTGACCACTGAGGATGACTGTGGGACAAGGCCTTGCTGCTAGGAGGAGGGAGGAGGTGGAGAGGCCAATTCCTGGGGCCAGAAGCATCTGGAGCGAGAAGAGAAAGAGACTGTAGGAAAAAATAGGAGGAAGAAACACAGGTGAGGAAGATGGTCAGGCCAGTGAGCCCGAGAAGACCACCAAGTAAGAGAAGACCACCAAGTAAGGGACACCTCATTCCCAGCTCGACCCTGCCAGACCACAAAACCAGGCTGCCAGGCCTGAAATCCCTCCTGCCCCAGCATCTTTTTTTTTTTTTTTTAAGATTTTATTTATTTATTCATGAGAGACACAGAGAAAGAGAGGCAGAGACACAGGCAGAGAGAGAAGCAGGCTCCATGCAGGGAGCCCGATGCAGGACTCGATCCCAGGTCTCCAGTATCAGGCCCTGGGCTGAAGGCAGCGCTAAACCGCTGAGCCACCCAGGCTGCCCCCAACAGAGCATCTTTGAACCCAGGTCACAGGGAAGCCTTCTCCTCACCTGCCCATCCTTGGGGTTAAAACCTAAAAGGAGGGGGGCCTGGCTGGCTCTGTCAGTTAAGTGTCTGCCTTTGGCTCAGGTCATAATCTTGGTGTCCTGGAATAGAGCCCTGTGGGGAGTCTGCTTCTTCCCTCTCCCTCTTCCCCTGCTTCTTCTCAAGCTCTTGCTCTTACTCAGTCTCTCAAATGAATAAAATTAAAAATATATAAAAAAAAAAAACCCACAAAACTTGAAAGGAGAGGGGCACCCAGCTGGCTCAGTCTGTGGAGCATGTGACTCCTGATTTTGGGATTGTGAGTTCGAGCCCCACATTGGGTGTAGAGATGACTTAAAAATAAAATCATAAAAAAAAAAAAAAATCCAAAACCTGAAAGGAGTATTCCAAAGGGACCAAGACATCCCCGAGGAATTGCCAGGGTAAATGAGTCAGGGCCACACACAGGCAACATGGCAACTCATGTGTGTCCCTCCCAACCCCCAACCTGGCCCCTGCACTAGGCAGTCAGCAGAGGCTGAAACCTCTCAGGCCAGCCCATGCCATTCCCTCCAAGCTGTCCCTGGTACGGAGGAGGAATTCTGATCTCAGATAAGTAGGACCCTGCTGCTTCCTGCTCATCCCCGGCCAGAGAGACCTCAGCTCAGGCCGTGCCTCCCCTCTCCTCTCCCGGAGGTTGAGTTCCTCAAAACCAATAGGAAACTCCAGCAGGGCAGGGCTAGGGTTGGCTGACCTTGTCCCAATAAACAGGAGAGTCAACAAAAATCACACACCAGGCATTTCCTACCCTCCCTGTGCTGCTGTAAATGCCCTCACAGACAGCTCCAAACCCTGGGATGGTGAGGAGGGGAGCACCAGGGTTATGCTGATGGGACTCATATACACAGCACATACCCTGTTGCCAGGAAAGAGGTCCTGTGGGAGCCAGGAAATGAAACAAAACAGGAGCAAACTGTGAACCAGCAGCCCTCACAAGACATGACAGGGGAAAAATAAGCAAACAGTAATAATACAGTGGAATAATACACTCCTCCTCATTCATATCTCTGGAGATGGGGATCATGGGAGACTTTCGCATTCCATGATATCAGTTATAAAAACATATGACAAACATACAACTATGTTGGTAATTACAAAAAAATAAAAAAAAAAAGATAACGATTTCTTTTAAAATCTAGGCTGGGGAGGGCCAGGTCTTCTTTAACCAAAGGCTGAGGAGGTGACAGGTGGATATAGGGAGGCCTTGGGCACAGAACAAAGGACCTTGGCCTGGGATTCCAGGATCTGAGTCTAGTCCCACATCCCTCCTTCCTTCCTAAACTTTTGGGCAAGCTGCTTCCTCTCTCTGAACCTGTTTCCACATCTGTAAACGAAGGACAAAGGCCAGTGCCTGAGCCTCCTCAAGTGGTGAGAGGAAACCATTGATAAGGGTGTTCTTTTTTTTTTTTTAAAGATTTTATTTATTTATTCATAGAGACAGAGAGAGAGAGAGGCAGAGACACAGGCAGAGGAAGAAGCAGGCATCATATAGAGAGCCCGACGTGGGACTCGATCCAGGGTCTCCAGGATCACACCCTGGGCTGCAGGTGGTGCTAAACCTCTGCGCCACCGGGGCTGCCCAAGGGTGTTCTTATAAATTCTAAAGTAGTCCATCCAATACCGCTAAGGTTATGGAACACATCCTAGGACATACTCTGTTAAGTGGCTTCCCTTAATCAACATATTTAATTTTCAAAATACCCTAAAGGGAAGTGGGGTGCTAAAACTATTGCCTTTTTACAGCTAAGGAAACTGAGGCTCAGAGAGGTACGGTGACTGGCCCACAGTTCCTCACTGAACACAAGACGGCTAGGAGTCAAATCCGGGTCTGACTAAGAAGTCTAGGTCCTATCCAGTGCACTTGCCTGCTTTGGGAACCAGTTTCCAAAATGTAGGCCAAGGAACCCTGGTTCCCAAAGGTGTCCACATGACCAAGTAAGTATGGGGACACACATCCTGCTGGTTCCCTCTCCAAGACTCATCATGCTCACTTCAATGCTAAGAAGTCATGCAGCAAGGACAAGTTGTTTCCCAGAGTTATCTAGCTACTGTGACCACAGAAACTAGCGTTCTAGGGAACACACCTTGGGAAATGTGGTCACAAGACAGTCTGGCTAACAACCCGGACTGACAAGATCTGTGCTGAAAGAGAAAAAATAGAGGTTCACAATGAAATTTAACATTGGCATGTAAAGCCCAGCAGCCACAGACTCCTCAGCTGGCCACTGAGTCAGGAGAAGGAAGAAGTGTTATGTCTCCTGCCACCTCTGCCCTAGATGCCCTGGACCTACAGTAAGAAAAGCAAAGGATTGCAGAGATGGAGATCCTGCCCTTTGCCCCCTATGCTGGGGAAGGCACCTGACTGGAGGCTGGCCTTGAGGGAGAGGGGCCCAGTCCTTACCCCGTGGACGGCTCTGCTATCTGCGTGTTGCCTGTCGGTGCTGAGGCTGGCCGACGTCTGTCTGGGCAGGGTCTTGGCATTCCTCTCGCTCCATGGAACCTGCCTCCCTATGAGGAAGCAAGAGCTACTGTCAGCAGGGATGTGTGACTGTCAGAATTACCTGCTGTGCTGCCAACATTTTCTGAGTGCTTGCTCGGTGCCAGGCCCTAGGCTGGGCCCTCAGGGTGACAAGAAAGAACCAGACAGGCTATTGGGAGATGCCAAGTCTACAATTACCACTGGCTGCTGGGAGCCCAGAGCTCTGCTGGGGGTACCCGGAAGCTAAGGGAATATGGACAAAGCATTAGACCCAGACCAGTGGGGTCAGAGAAGGCTCCCTGGGAATGATGTTGCCTGAGTTGACTCCTGGGGAGGGTCAGAAGCTGGAGAAAGAGCATTCCAGGCAGAAGGAACAGCACAAGTTTGCCTGGGAGAGAACATGATGTCTAGACGATGCTGAGTGGCTCAGTCTGGCTAGATCTCTGACCAGAGGTGGGAGGTGGCAGGACAGGAGCTATAGTGGCGCGAGCCAGGTCCAGGCAAAGACACAGCCTCAGCCCAGACACACGAGTTTACCTCAAATACAAAATCCAACCAGCATCTGGTAGTCGGGGAGCATTTAGTGAGCATCTACTACATCTCAGGCACTCTGCTGAGAACCAGTCACAAGGCTGAAAAGGACAAGTCAGCAGGGCGGGGAAAGAAGTGCAAGAAGACTACAGTAAGGCTGGGGGGGTGGGGAATATCTAATCCACTAGGAGTCAGGATTGTGGCTCAGCCATCAGGAAGGCCAAAGGATAAGCAGGAGTTAAGAGGAAGGAGTGAGTGCAGGGCAGACCAAGAGACCCGAATGTCTCTAGGAGGGACCGTGGAGCCTTTTAACCACGTATGCTGGGGAGCATTTAACACACTTACTCAGTGCTAGGCACTGTGCTGAGAGGAAAGAACAAGACAGTCCCCAGCCTGGAGGAGAGATAGGTCAATAACCCAGCAAACCCACACAGGGTGACAGCACCTAGCAATAAAGCACCTAGAGCTATAAAGGCACAGACATCTCTAAGACAGACTTTACCCTTACCCTGCGCTCCTCAAGGACAGGGTCCCCACTAAGGCTGGGCAGCCCAGCCACTTGCCCATGGCACAGCCTGAACCAGAACTCAGGCCTCAGGACTCCCTGTCACTGATTCTACTAGTCCTCCCTCTTTCATGAAATACACACTCACCACCCCCAACAGAGCTAATGCCTCCTTCCTCCCTAATATTGCTATTATTATGCTGGCCACTGTATCCACGTTGTCCTGCCTGCATCTCCTCCCAGACTGCAGGTCAAAGGAGGCCAGGGACTGTTCTCCAGCATCATTCCTGGTCCAGGCCAGGCACATCCTAAAGAATGGCTAAATGGATGATTGGGCGAATGAATGTTTGAATGATCAAGGGATGGAGAGATGGTGTGCTGGGCTCTAGGGCTCCATATCCAGCCCACTGACTCTTCATAAGGTCTTAGGCCATTAACCTGTGCCTCAGTGTCCCCATGTGAAAACCTGGAATCACCTTCACTCTCAGGAGAGGGAGTCAGGAACCAGGCTCATATCTTCCCTCCAGCTCCTACAACTGAGGTCTAGGCCAAGCCAGGCAGCAACCCAAGGCCCAGCCACTTCCCCAAGTTCTGACCCAATGGGGCAATCCTGAGGAGCCCACCTTGTCCAGAAAGGCCACTCAAAGTTTGTAGAGGAAACTGCTTCCTAGTGGGTGTGCCCAAAGCATGGAGTACAAAAGCATATCACTGAGTTGGGGCTGGGGCGTCACAAAGATTTCTTGGGCCCCTGCTCTGTATCCTGGAAGGCAGAGGAGCATTAGACCAGACCTCAAAGCACCTCTAAGACTGGGAAGACAGGAAGGCAGAGGCCGGTCATTCACGCCCCAGCATCTCTCCAGTCTGCCAGCACATCATCTGTCCTTGCCTCCCCCCGTAAGCCAGAGGAAGACCTGACCTTCATGAAAGCAATGCCAGTGTGGCTGAGACCATGGGCACTGCCCAGTCCCTCTGAACAAACTCCCACTCTCCCATCCCCTCCACAGGAAATATCACCAACAGCAGACCTCCTCCCCTTCCTCCTCCTGCCTCCAGTCAGCCTGCTCGTCTGCCTGCCCAGAGGGGTTAAAGAAACTCCTAATGGAAAAAGTAGGTGAGGCCCAGGGGAGCTTTTCAGCTCCACCAAATCCCTCCTCCAGGATTTAGGCCCAAATTCCCTTTCCCTCACCAAGCTCTCTCCCTCCTCATCCTCACACCTCATCCTCAAAAGGCTTCCTGGGACAGAGCTGCGGAAGAAGCATCAGGGGAGTGTGGTCAGCCCCACCCTTCCAGGCAAGTGCTGATCAGAAGGGTGTCGGACACCCCCCAACCATCTCTCCTCCTTCCCAAAAAAGGCAGTCGGTAGTTGCATCAGCTGAACACCAGCCCAATCTTGGTTCACTTCAGCCCCGACCGACGGAGAGGAAGAAGCAGTCAACAAAAGCAGCAGAATCATCGTGAACCCAAACCACCTTGGCTATGCTCCTTCAGCCTGGGAGCCAACTTTGCGGGATCTCCAGCCCGGACCCCATCAGATCTGGCTCTCCGGCCCATATGGATGCACAGCACATGGGCAGGGCCTGGGGCCTCAGACCCCGAGCCGATCTTCCCCGGGAACCCCTGTCCAAACCGGCCCCAAGATCTTAGCCAGGGATCCTGCCCCCAAATCAGGGCCCTGTTCCAGCGGACCAAGAGGAGGGAGGGGTCCAAGGGAAGAGGAGGGGGCCAGGAGCCCAGGAGAAGAGAACAGGGGAAACCTCTGAAAACGAAAGGGAAAAAAAAAAAAGCTGCCAAGGAGAGCCCAGAGGTGGAACCTCTAGGAAGTGGGGAGAGTGCGCGTATAGGAGTTAGGATCTGGGGGAACTCAGGGGATGACAGGGGGGCCAGGGGGAGCCCAGGCGGAAACTCCCGGTGTGTAGAGCGCAGGGAGGCACTGGGGTGCCTGGGAGGGGGCTCGCGCGCCGCGGCACCGCGGAGAGGGTGGGGCCCGGGAGACCTGGAGTACGGGGGAGCCTGGAGGTAGGCCAAGTTGGGCTGCCGCGGGAGGCCCCCCGGGAGCCAGCCGCGGCTAGGAGAGCCCGAGCTGCCCGGGGCGCCCGGGGCCGAGCAGCTGGCCGGGGGCGTGTAAGAGTGGGTTTCGAGAAGTGACAGCTCGTGCCCCTTTCCCCGCCCCACCCACTCACCTGGTCCCGCCGTGTCCGGCCGCCCAGCAGGCAGCCCCGCGCCCCCGCCGCTCCGTCTCGCCGCCGGCCGCTGCGCCCCTCCGGCGCCTCCTTTTGTTTGTCCCTCACTGCACCACTCATCCTCCTCCGCCCCGGAAGTGACGTCACCACCGGCGCGAGCGCGGCGGCTAGGGAGTCGCCATCTTTTTGATGGGAACTCTCTTTGCGTCTTCACACCCTCGGCTTCCAGGTGGCGCCATGTTGGTTTGGGGCGGAAGTAGCCTAGATCGGGCTCGGCCCTCTTAAGGGAGAGGGACGGCTGTAACCTTCGGGGCGAGCTGGGGGACAAGCGGGGAAGCCGGCACGGCGAGAGTAAGTAGCCGGTGCCGGCGCGTTGCTGCCCCGAGGCCGGGTGCCGAGGCCGGAGGACCTGGTAAGCGGTTCCGCGCTCGTTTGTGCCGGAATACTCGCTGCGTTTGATGCTGCTGGTACCGCGGAGTGGCTGCGCCGAAATCTTAACCCAGCCTGGAGCCGCCCGCGGGGATAAATTGCGCGCGCTTGACACCGACCCACACTCGGACGGTCCTCTCTGCAATCACATGCCGCACCCCCAGCCCCGCGATAGTGTCAGTGGAGAGGAAGAAATCCGAGGCAGCTCGGCCATTAGCGGGCAGAGCCGGGGCTGGAACCGATACCCTCTCCATGGAGCCCGAGCCCTCGCAGGTCCCGCACTGACAATAGTAACGGCAATCCCGTTGAGAAATAATCCATACCGTGGAATGCGGTGCAGCCACTAAAACGAAAAATGTTCCATATGCACTAACATGGAACCACTTCCAGGATACCTTAGTTGAAACAAGGAAGGGCCAAAGAGCTGCGATGATCGGCACTACAGTTTGTGGAAGAGAGCGTGTGTGAGAGTGCGTGTCTGCAGGTGTGCACACCTGCCGGCTGGTAGGATGCACGAGTGGTTAACTGTGGTGGCCTCGGACAGGAGAGCTGGAGCCCTGAGGACCCAGGCCACGGGGGAGAATTGATTGATTGATTGGTTGGTGGTGGAGATATAAAGGCTCGCCATCCATCAAGCCTTGAGCCAGTGCCTGGGTTCAGCCCTCCTGCTGCAAGGTCTGATTTTCCCCCGTCATGAGAGGAGGGAATAAGGCTCAGAGATTAGGGACTTTAGTAATGTCTCATGGCCAGGAAGGAGAGAACCTGGAATTTGACCTCTGGAGGGTTTTACACTAATGACCAGGGTCTCCTTATCCCACTTCCCACTGAGAAGCTTTTTTGTTATCAGCCGTGTGACACCCACCATGGGGTCTGGCACACAGTCAGCATCCAGTAACTGTGTATTGTCTGTCTACTGATTGAACAGATAGAACAGATCAGAGGGAGACCTATAGAATGAAGAGAGGAACCACTGGAGGCCAGAGCCCAGACTAGAGTTCAAGGCTTGCCCCTTTCCAGCCTCAAGACTGTGAACCTGGCACATCCCTCCCTGAGCCTCCATGTCCTCACCAAAGAACTAGCAAGCAGGACCACAGCTGCCACTGGTGCTCCCATCTACTTTGTGTTTTACATGCAGATTAGCCCCCATTTTACAGATCAGTAAGTGAAGCATAGAGAAATTAAGGAAGTTGCCCAAAGGGGGTCCCCACAAGACCCGACTCCCCCACTAACTGAGAGGTTGCTGGGCTCTGGGGTCTCCCTCAGCTTCCAGAGATCAACAGCACTAATGCTTTGGGAGATCTACGGTCCTAGTTGAGCCTCCAGAGGCTGAGGATCTGGTGGAAAACAGGACAGACACACTGTTCCTGCTCTTGAAGTCTAGTGAGGGTGACAGACAACCCAGCAGTTAGCATCTGTGATGGGCAATTAGCATTTCTGATGAGCTCTGTGGTCCCTGGAAGCTCAGACCTTGGGAGCACAATGGCAGGAACATCTGGCTCAGCCCTGGTGGAGTCAGAGAGGGCTTCTCCAAGTAGGTGACTTTTCATCTGTGTCTGAAGAATGTGTAGGATATCTGGAAGGAGAAATGATGAGGCTGGAGACCCAAGCAGAGGTGTGCTCATCCCTGAAGGTAACCAACATGATAAGAGACCATGCATGTAAGAAATGTTCAGTCTGGCTTCTGCATGAATCACTTCTTCCCCCTGGAGAATGCCTTCCCATGCCAACATCTGTGGCTTTCCACCCTCCACTCCACACTTAACTTTTGTGCATCTCCGAAGAGTAGGACTTCCCAATTTTATAATCCAGGTGGGGGCGATAAAGAACACAGGAAAGTTAATAACAAGGAAGAACTTTACTGACACGTTCACCTCTCCCCTGGACACCCCCATCCCCACCCCCACACCTGAATTCCTTCCCACTCCAGATTGGCAGCCAACTTGCTGTAGCAGGAACTCTGCCCTTATGAATAAAGGTGCTGGTACAGGAAGTTTCTGTCTATCCGGCTGTTTATGCTCACATGGGTTCTCGGATTGCCAGGTGTTGGGCATGACCTCTTTCCCTGATTCTGTAGCCAGCAGGCCAAAGTCACTTTAGCTACCTACTGTGGGAGAGGAATCACTGCCACTCCTGTACCCACAGATGTGGGGCCACATCCCATGTGGCACTGCCAGCTCCTTGAAAAAATCAGCAAATGCTCATCCTACTTCCTCATTCCTGGACAGTGGTATAAGCTTTGGATTTGCAGCTGAGGTCTTTCTGTGCTTTTCTGGGACTCTGACTGTGGGTAAGTCATTTCCCTGCTCTGAACCTTAGTTTCTCCATCTGTAAAACTGACGTGACTCTCTTTAATATTCTTGCCGGGCATTAAATATATAAATTCATATATTCCCCCTCCCCCCATGTGTAAAACTGCCTTAAAGAGTGATATTTCGATTTTGGGACTGGATCCTGTGCCAGGAGGAATAAGGAGTGAGCTACCTACTTTGTGTCTCACTCAAGGTCTCTACCCACCAAGCCCTGTGGCCTGGAAACCAGAAGTCATTTCTTTCTCCTTTGCCAATTCCCAAGTCAAGGGGAACTGTGTAAGTCACTATGCTTCTTAGATCTCTCCAGACAAGATGTTGCCTCCCTTTGGGAGAACCATCGACTCAAGTTTTCACGAAACCTTTGTCTTATACAGACTCTCTGTTTTTAGATTGAAAAAAAAGAGGAAAAAAAGAAAAACCAGGCAAGAGACTTTGTTGTCCTGCTTGGTTAACTAAGTTTTGTGGAAAGGATTGGGTTTTTTGTGTTGTTTTGTTTTTGTTTTTGTTTTTTTTTTTTTAGATTAGTGTTTGTTTGAGAGTAAGCAACCACAGTAGAGGGAAGGAGCAGAGGGAGAGGGAAAAGCAGACTTTCCACTGAGCAGGCAGCTCAACACTGGGCTTGATCCCAGGACCCTGAGATCATGACCTGAGCTGAAAGGCAGACGCTCAACCAACTGAGCCACTCAGGTGCCCCATGTTAACAGCTTCTTAGTGACAGGTTCCTGTGGGCCGATACCTGTACTGAATGCTTTCTGTGAATGACTGCATCATTGTTACACCTTTGTACAGAGTAGGGAGCTGAGCCTGAGCTTGCAACATGGCACAACCAAGGTCCCATAGCTGGTTCAGAATGGAGCTTGGGATCATTCTGTCCATGTCCATGCTTTCATTTTCTGGGCTGTTGTGTAACTGGCTGGTCTTGCCTGGGCATGGTCCCCCTCCCGAGGCCGCTTCTCCAGAGGCACTATGGTTTGTGTTTTCTCAGTATTTGGAGGCCCCTGATATTTGAGCTCAGGAGATCCTAAATATCCTTCCAGACCGGATAGCTCTGTCTAGTAAAGAACTGACTCTCCCCAAATACCAAGTGTACCCCTTTTGAGAAACACTAAAACCAACTCTCCATATTGCATAGAATTGGTTTAGGTGGCATGGGGCCAGGCTGCAAAGCCAAAATTCCCTTGCATGCCCTTGCAAGCTGCCATGTGGATTAGAAGCCCAAAGGGGCATGGCTCCAGTCCCCAAGGGCTGCTGGTCTGCAGTCTGCAGCCAGGGATGCTGATAGAGGCAGCAGCACCCACGTCCTGAAAGAGGGATGTTGGGGGAAAGACTTTGGACTACTGGAGCCAGGCAAACCAGGATTTGAATCCCAGCTCAGGCTCTCAGCTGAGTAAGCTTTGTTTTTTCTCCTCTGATCAAAATAGGGATGGTAATACCTTCTTAGTAGATTGTTTTGAAGATTAAGGAATTTAACACAGGGGTCAGATGTATAGTAGGTGCTCTCTGAGTTCAGAAGAAGGCCCAGGTGGACACAGAGGCAGAGAGGAGGCAGAGCTGGGACTAGGGGGCATGCCAGGCAGGGGCACAGGTGTCTATCCAAAAGCAAACGAGGGGTGCCTGCCTGGCTCCGGTGGTAGAGCATACAACTCTTGTTGATCTCAGAGTATATTTAAGCCCTATGTTGGGCATGGAACCTACTTAAAATTAAAAATTAAAAAAACGGCACCTGGGTGACTCAGTTGGTTAAGCCTTTGACTCTTGATTTTAGTTCAGCTCATGATCTCAGGGTCATGGGAATGAGCCCCACAGTGGGCTCTGCACTGGGCATGGAGCCTGCATGAGATTCTCTCTGTCCCTCTCCCTCTGCCATCCCCCCCACCCTTCTCTCCCTATCTCTAAAAAAAAATAAAAAACAAAAGCAAGTGATTTGTATGTTCGGAAGAGGAGAGAATGTGTGGGAGCTGCAAAATGTACATTCAGGCCAACTCTAAAAGCTGCTTGGCAAGGTTAGTCCAATGGGAGGTGTAGTTGACATCAGCCTGCCAGGGGCTTGTCACTGAGGCATTTCCCTAGAGGTCATTCACCTGCTGGCCAAGAAGGTGGCCCAGTAGCTACGGAGGCTAATGGAGGCGTGTGTTTTTGGGGAGGGCACTAATCACTGGCAGCTGGCCCCTGGCCTGGCAGTATGGAAGCCTGAGACCTTAGATGCCTGGGGAGCTACCCTGGAAGGTGTCCTCAAGGTCATCTGTTGCCTATCCACGCTCCCTCCAGGCGGCCTGGCTTCCGAGAGCTGCCACAGTGCCCACAGTGCCCACACTGCAGTACTCTGGCTAATATTGGAGGAATAACGATAACAGTGATGATATTTGTGAAACACAGACTCTTTCTGGGCACCACACTAAGTGATTTTCATGTGTCATCTCATTGACTTCTCACGACAACTCTATGAGGTGGCTGCTATCATTATTCCGATTCAGAAATGGTTCTCAGAAAGCTTTAATAATTTGGGGTGCCTGGGTGGCTCAGTCCATTAAGTGTCTGTCTTCGTCTGGGGTCATGATCCCAGTCTGTTTGCCCCTCTCCCTCTGCCTCTCCCCCAGCTCATGCTTTCTTTCTCTTGCTCTCTCTTATTAAATAAAACAAAATCTTTTTTTAAAAAAAGTTTTAAGGGGATCCCTGGGTGGCGCGGCAGTTTGGCGCCTGCCTTTGGCCCAGGGCGCGATCCTGGAGACCCGGTTTCGAATCCCACGTCGGGCTCCCGGTGCATGGAGCCTGCTTCTCCCTCTGCCTATGTCTCTGCCTCTCTCTCTCTCTCTCTCTCTGACTATCATAAATAAAAATTTAAAAAAAGCTTTAATAATATGCTAAAAACTATACAGCTAGTAAATGGCTTCAGTCTAAGCCTGTTTGATCCTAAAGCCTCACAGCCCCCCGCCCAAAAAAAGTATTGAAGTTTATAAGACTCCAACCCAATCCCAAAGGAAACCACTATTAATAACTTAGCAGTGTCCCTGGAGACAGCCTTATGTACAAACATATACATAATCAAGCAGTCCTTACTTTGCACAGCAGAACGAGTTTCAGGCACCAAGGTTCAGTTAAATAACACTAGTCCTCAACAACACTGTTCTAATTTCAGTTGTGATATTCTATTAACTATGAGTAATTGCATAAAGTACGAACTTTGCTACTCTGTAGTCCACAAATCCCTGTGGAAATAGCAGATGTACTTTGTGGTCGGTGACTAATCATCACTTCTTTCAAAGCCTGTCAGTGATTGGTCACCGTGCATGCTATTCAGTTGACACACAGATACCAAAGCTTGGAGTTGTGTTGCCTCCTGCCTCCAAGTGATAAACCCATGCGGCAGGCTACAAAAATGGATAACCAGGAGAGGGAATTGGTCAACAAAGACGAAAGTGCTGCAAAGACATGCTAAGCGATAAGGCTGAATGGGAAGTTTGCATTGAACCTAAGTGGAATGATGAAACAAAGAGTTGGCTGTGGGAAAGTTGACAGCCCAGTTGTTTGCTGTTCCAGAAACTCTAGGTATGCAACCAGAGAAATTTAGTGAAGGTAGATTGACCAACACACAGAATGCACGCCTTTCTGACCAAAAGGATGAAGGCGTCCCAGAGGAAGGGATGCCAGCAAAAACATCACATCAAAGGAACACCCAGATCTACTTCACAACATTGAAAGTACAAGGCATGAAATATTTGAAGTTGATGTAAACTCAGAAAGGAGCTAGTTAACTCATGAATGCTGAGAACAGATGCTTGTTCCATATCCTGTTATGCTACTAGAAACCAAGCACTGGTCACGCTCCTCTGGATAATTTACCTCCAGGTTTATTGAATTATAATTGACAAATAAAATTGTCATACATTCAAAGTGTACAACGTAATGAGGGGGTGCGTGAGTGGCTCGGTTGCTTAAGTGTCCAACTCTTGATTTTGGCTCAGCTCATGATCTCAGGGTCATGAGATCAAGCCCCACTTCAGATCTCTGCAGTGGGCCTGGAGCCTGCTTAAGATTCTCTCACCCTTTGTTCCTCCCACCCCCTCTCCCTCCTTCTGTAAAAAAAGTTTTTTTTTTTTTTTTTTTTTTTTTTTTTTAAATTTTTTTTTTTTTTTTTTTTTTTTATTTATGACAGTCACAGAGAGAGAAGGAGAGAGAGGCAGAGACACAGGCAGATGGAGAAGCAGGCTCCATGCACCGGGAGCCCGACGCGGGACTCGATCCCGGGTCTCCAGGATCGCGCCCTGGGCCAAAGGCAGGCGCCAAACCGCTGCGCCACCCAGGGATCCCAAAAGTTTTTTTTTTTTTAAGTGCACAGCATGATGATTTGATATGTGTAGACATTGTGAAATGACTCTCACTATCAATTAACATCCATCATCTTAGAGAGCTGTGTGTGTGAGAGAGAGAGAGAGAGAGAAGTTTAAGGTCTACTCTCCTAGCAAATTTAAATTCTGCAATACGGGCAACCCCAGTGGCTCAGCGGTTTAGCACCGCCTTCAGCCCAGGGTGTGATCCTGGAGATCAGGGATGGAGTCCCATGTCAGGCTCCCTGCGTGGAGCCTGCTTCTCCCTCTGCCTGTGTCTCTGCCTCTCTCTCTGTCTGTCTGTCTGTCATGAATGAATAAATAAAATCTTTAAAAAATAATAAAATAAATAACTATTTTTAAAAATCCCACATATAAATGATGCCACACAACCTTTGTCTGGCTTATTTCAACTGGCATTACACCCTCCAGATTCATTCATGGTGTAGCAAATGGCAGGCTTTCCTTTTTTTTTTTTTTTTTTTTTAAGGCTGAATAACATTCCATTGTATACATAGGCAGACCATGTTTTCTTTAGTCATCCCTCCATCAATGAACCTATAGGATGTTTCCATATCTTGACTATTGTGAATCATGCTGCAATGAACAGGGGAGTACAGATATCTCTTTGAAATAGTGATTTCATTTCCTTT